GTATAGCAGTCCTTTAAGGTAAAAGCAAGTAAATATTTTCTAGAATGTATTAAATTAATGTTTTATTAAATCAATAAGTGCTTTATTATATGATTTAAGGTAGATATTTCATTTATGTCTGCATTTTAAAAGTGAAATTGTATCACAAATGAGAAAAACTTAATAGACATATGACATTATGTTTGAAGGGATTCTAAATTGATATTAAATAAAATGTAAATGTTAAGTCATACAGGATTATCCTCAGATGACACTGGTAGTGAGTGCGATATACAGGTGCATATTAAAAGAAATGATAGAGGTGTGTCTTTGGGTAAATTTTGAGGGTACCTTTAGGTACATGTTTTAGGGCACTAACAGGTACAATTTTTTAAAGTAATTTTGGTTACATTTTTCTAAGATAGATTCGGGTATGATAATAATTTTATTATGACTCTTAAAAAAGTTAAGATTGGTAAATACTTAAAGTAAAACAGGAAGGGATAGAATTATAGTAAAAGTTTACAATTTTATAAGGTAAGGAACTATATTTTCTTTTGGTCATTCATGCATAGCAATGACATAATAATTTAATGCATATTAAAATTATAATTGATCACTTAGTCAAACTTACTGTTCAAATTAATGGCTTCTTTCAGGAAAAAAAAAATTAGATTGATATGTCTAGTAAGAGAGACTTCGTATACAGGAGGAGAGCAATAACTAATAGGTACTAGTTTATGATGTGTTCGTAGTTTTGTTTTGCACTTTTTCGTTTAGATAATGATATACTGCTATGTGGATTGATATTCCACGCCTCAAGTTTGATATTTACATTTATAACATGACTTGAATTAAGTGGCCCGTCATATTGCAATACGAGGTTGCCCTATTGACCTTCCAAGATATCAAGCTGCCCTGTCGACCTGCCAGATTGTTTGTTGATTCCTTCACCAATTTGCCAAGTCTCCCCGTCGAACTACCAGTTTTCGTCCTGCCAAGTTGAGTTGTCGGGGTTATCCTACCAACCCATCAGATTGCCCTACCAAGTTACCCTATCAATCTTCCAAATTACCCAACTGAGTTGTTAACTTAATCCTTTGCCTATCAATTCGCCCTGCAAGTTAGCACTGTTGACCTACCAAATCGCCTTGCTAGGCTCTCATGTTGGGTCGACTTGTCAAGCTTCCCAACTATCAAGCTAGCGGCAGGAGCGAAATAAATTGGGTTGGTGCGGGGCCGCTCAAAAGCGAAATAAATTCGGTTGGTGTTGGCTTTCTCCTTGAAAAGAATTTGCGGCCTTCGCCGCTCAATGTGCGCCTAAAGCTCTGAAAAGGGTTGAAAGGACCGTTATGAGATGAAATAAAGCTACGAGACAAAAACAAAAGCATCATTGTTTCTGCTTCTTCTTTTTCTTAATATTTGAATCAAGTGGGGCTTCACATCAATGCTTTGCATGGATTCATTCATAAAATTTCCAGCGGCCCGCTGGAGGTACTAAGAATTTACATATATGCCACTCAATTTGTATGTATTTACATATCTAGCACCTATACTTTAATTTTTTACATACATGACATCTTATCCATGCATGAAAAAGATGTATTTCAGTTTTGTTGGGGCCAAAATGCTGGTTTTTTTGATGTGGGTGGTATGGTTGATAAATTGATAATGACGGAGTGGTATGTATTTAAATGCCCCCCAATAAAAGACGGCATTTATATACAAACCACATAATATACATTTATTTACATATCTAATATTTAAACTCGAATATTTACATGTATATCACTCAAATCCTTAACATCAAATTAAAAATGTCGTTGAGAGTTTTCTTTTAAAATTGAAATATGCATTTCCATGCATTAGGGTAGTGATACCAAAGCTATATGAAAGTTTAAGTGGAATGGAATGTGCACTTATGGTTTTGAGTAATTAGGTATCAAAACTACAAGGAATAATAGGATCAAATAGATTCGAGAAATGCGGAACAAAATTTCGAACAGAAACACAACAAAATAATCTTAGAAAAACACACAAGTTTTACATGAAAACATAAGAATGATAAAAACTCACAAAGTCGCGCACCAAAAGGTATCCACTATAAATGATAGAAACGTAAAAAGATACACAATCAAATCAACTCTCTACAAACACATAACCGATCGAATTTCACTCCAAACCTTCATCTCAATCTCACGACAGAAAGATCTCGCTAAAATAATTCTCCTCGACCCTTTCCCACTTCACCAAAGTGTTGTTGAGAACCCCTCCACGATAATAATCCCACCGTTGCTCAAATCGCAAACTTAAGAAATGAAAATGTAGGAACCATCTCAAAGGCATCATCACACCAAAAATAGGTGTAATTATTTCATGCACTCTGTCCCTGCAAAACTGGTACCCGTGGATCGCTGACTCAGATACATCCAATTGCGTGATAGTAATGCCACCCGGAGTAGCTACAACAGTTCCAAGTGTGGCTACACCACGAAACAAGCGATGCTGGATCCTTCTTGAGGTTGGGTGCTCCTAGGTGCTTCAAGCCCCAATTCACAACAATTATGTAATATGTAGGTAAATTTCCCAAGAAAAAAAGTTACAACATGTGCAACTTAGACAAAATAATCTAAAAATGCTTTTAACAATTGCAACATGTGCACCTTCTAAGTATTATTTTTTAGCAGCCGGGTGATTTGGCTCATTGGCATTTTTCATTTCATTTTGTTCGAGCACTTCTAAATAGCATTATGGTTTAGAAAATGATTATTTTATACTTTTTATTTAAATATTTTGAAAATTTCATAATTATCTTGTTATTTTGCTTAATGAACTAATTAGTGTTAATATGTTTATGCATCACTCTTGATTGAGAGGATTTCTTCTTAAAATTGTCATCAATTTTTTTTTTAATGTAATTAACGAAAATGTATAAAAGAATTAAAAAAACTGAGATGAAAGCTATTGAAGCCTTGCTCCTGAAATTTCTATTAATAATTATGATTTCTGTTCTAAAAAAGGTCAAAAATGTAAAGACAATTTGCATCATAATGGCTATATATGGACAAACTGGCTGCCACCACCATCACAAATGGACGGTGGAGAAGCCCTCACTTTAGCCTTCGGTAATACAGCTCATTTGAATAAAATATAAATACATAATAAACAGAAATTGCACGATCAAACTTTATTTGGGAACAGTATAAGAAAATAATCAGTTAAATTTCTTTTATACTTATATCCTATGCATGCAAGAAAAATTTGCGATGATAGAGTAATGGTTTATTATCTTAGCATTGCACGAAAATTCAACAAATAATCCGATAAAAGAAATGACAAAAAATTGATGGCACCAGAAATTTTTACGTGTAAAACCCGTAAAGAGAAAAAACCACGGGGTCTGACTCAATTATAAGAATTCATTATAGGTTGATGATTACAGAGATTCATTGTCCCACATATTGGAAAATATTATTAAGTTTTCCAAGTTATAATATTGATTAACGGTGATTGATTAATGGTGTTCGGTGATGGTCGGTGGTTGGAAATGACGATAGACGATGGTCGGCGGTGGTCGACGGCGATTGTGATGGTCGGCGGTGGTCGACGGTTGACAGTGAGTGACGGCGGTCAATAGTGGGCGACAGAGGTCGACGACGGTTGGCGGTGGTCGACAGCGGTTGATAGTGGTGGACGATGATCGACGGAAGTCGTTAATGGTCGACGGCGGTCAGCGGTGGTCGACAATGATCAGCGGCGGCAACCATCGTCAGTGGTGGTCTAGTGAGGTCAGCCGGGTCGAAAGCGATCTGCGGTGGTCGATAACGGTTGACGTTGGTCAACGAAAATCGAAGGTGGTCGATGACAGTTGACATTGTGCTGGACTTTAGCTCTTTCTCAAAACCTCAAGTTCTCTCTCAAGGCACCAACCCCTTCCTCATAATAAGGATGAGGCCCTATTTATAGTGTTATTGGTATAGTCAATACAGAAATATGAACCATTTTGATTGGACGGTCCGAAGAGCTTCCTTCAATTAGACGATGTTTGATAGACATTGGAGTGCCTTAATGATGTCAGAATGGAGCAATCATGAGCTCGTTGGATTTGTCTTGTCGAGACACTCGATTCAATTACAAACTCGCCAAATTCGACATCGGTTGGATATTCCAAATGTGTCTAGAAATCCTTTGATCTGAGCTTGATTTGACTCGGATTAGACTAGTTTTTATATCGTTGGGTTCATCTCATACAACCGATCTGTTTGACTATAAATGCGCTGAAATCGAAACTCTAGATAACCTTTTTTTCAAGATTTGAACATTTTATACTCAAAATATTATCTCCAAATTCATAGTCTCGAGATTCACGTAGGATAATAAAATTTTTTTGATGGCATACATATAAACAAATCAAACAATTTAAAAATTCACTATGTTGCGAATTCGGTAGCAAAATTTTCTCAAAAAAAAATATTTCCCAAAAATAATGCTAAAAAAACCTTTAAACATGGTACTCCTGTAAAGCAGATCCCATGCAGGTCTTAGTGCTATTACAAGCAAAATATTTGTACAAAATAATGCTATAAAAATTTGATTATTTTGATTTTAAAAAGAATGATTCAAACCAACCAAAATAATTTAAACAACAATAACTATATCAATTTTTCTCCTGAATTATCATGAAAATAAAAAAAAATCCAAATTCAGCAAGAAGACGACGTTTTCAATTTGATTTTGTGTAATGAAATCTCAATGATAGAATATTAAAATATTACTTTTTTTTTTTATTTCTTCCTTTGTCAGCACTTAAAACATTTAAGTTAAAATTGGCTGAAAGTAACGCAACAACATTCGCTTCAATCATGGACATACTACACACACAGCACACAGATAGATATAGAGAGATACATCTTTGTGTCGCACACGCACACGCACAAGCACACGTCAAGTGGGGGCGCGTGCGGAAGTTCAAATGTTAGACATGTAAATACTAAATACATTATGATTGAGTGGTATGCATGTAAATCTTCCAAGAACAAAATAAAACATTTTCTAATTCAAAAACAAACAAATAAAGCCCGAGTAAATATATTCCATCCGTCTTAATAACTGAATTCATGCAAAATAAATAATTCAGGAATATATAAATAAAACCGATGAAGGAAATGTGAACGAATTAATCGGCAATAATTCCAGCGAGAACGTCGCTCCTCCCTCTGGCATAGATGGTGTAAACAAGGCGAATGGCATCCAGCCATCCGTCCAGAGACTCCCACGTCTCCGCCGCCTGTACAGGAAAAAAAAACAAATTTAAGACGTCAAATCCGGGTTTATTTATAATAATTGATTAAAGATGGCGCATTTAGAAAATAGATATTTGCATATCTAACAACTAAACTTTATTTTTTTTACATTTATACCACCCAAATCTTAACTAAATACCACAATTTAACTTGCAAAAACAAAAGAGCAACTGATGTGTCAATAGATAAGAATTGGGTGACATTTATGTAAATCTTCCAAGAAGAAGAAAAAATGATGTTTTTGGGATGTGTTTTGAGGATAAGAGGGATAAGAGGGCGGGCGGAAGGAAGGCTCCAGATTTCGAATAAAATAAGCGTTGTAAGTAGAATTTACTCAGAGCTGATCTTTTAAAAAGATAATGGAATGTCTAATCAGATGTGGACTGCAGCTCCAAACGAAATGAATGCAAATGACGACAGGTGAGCTTGGTACACCGCACCAATGGTGATTGATAACAAAAATAACCTTGTGTGCTTCATAAAGAATTCTGGAATATTACACTCTATCCACAGAATAATAATAATAATAATTTTGTGGATATTATATATAATGTGCAGAAATGTGCCAAAATAATCACTGTCTAGGGCTGATTTAGTCCATATTGGGTAAATAATTCCTGATTATTTTAAAATTAAGCTTTAATTCAAGTCTCATTTTAAAAAATATATACTATTTTGACACTACTATAAATACATTAAAACAACCCAATATTTGGTGACTATTTTAGCATTATAGATAGAGAGAGAGAGGGTGAAAGCTTATATTTTGAGTAAAAAATGATTTTAACCACTGATCTATGAAGCTCTACTAGTTCCTATTTGGTTACTGATAAATATAACGGGCATTTACAAACATATCACACATTATTTGCGTAGTTACATATCTATCACATACATTCATATTTACATGCATACCGCTAAAATCATTAACATCACATAAAAGATACACTATCATTATCTTTTTTAAAAGTGAAATACACCTTTTAATGCATAATTTTATGCATCAAAATATTAGAAGTTTAAATATCAAACTTTGCCCAACACTTATCTTAATTGAATAAGGTTCAACAGCAGTAAACTCTGAAACCATAGGATTGAACCGTTTCATATTGGAAGTGGTCGAATTTTAACATGCAAGCGATATTGTAAAACATGCGAGTATTATTGATTCAGAGACACATTGCGGTGATTATAACAGAGAAAAGTTTCAAAATAGTCCTGACATTTGACTGGGGTTCATAAATGTGTTAAATCTAATACCCAAATTTTTTAATATGGGCTAAAATATTCCCAACGAAGAATAATTTCAGCCCTAATTTAAAGTCTGAAAAATAATTTGACATTTTTATAAGCTCTGAAACTTACAGTCAGGGGACTGCTTTGACACTTTAATCGTTATATCAAAGCATATTGGAAGTTTTGTGGGATAACTAGTTCGTATTAGTAGAGTAAAACAGAAGAATTCCACATTTTAAGAGATCTTACCAAGTAAACAGGCCCTTGAACCGTTTCTATACACAGACCTGCACCAGGGGGTAGGGTTAGGTCCGCACAAGCGGACACAGAGAGAATATCTGGGATTTCAACTTTAATTATCGGTTTAACACTTTGCCCTGATCCCTGTATTCGCCCGTAAGAGGTTTGTGCTGATTCCTGCTCATTTTTTCCAACCTGAATGAACTTATGTAAAGGTTATTTTTGCGAAAAAAAATGATGAGAATAGTACTCAAAACTGTGGAGGAAGTAGTTATTTAATAACAAAAGCTGATAAAATACACAAATTGATAAAAGCAAAGGGTTCATGGTACATGAATTAATATGTATTTACATATTTAACATCTATACTTAAATTTTTGCATGCAGACCACCTTAGCTATGCATAAAAAGGTGTATTGGTATTTTTGTAATAATTAAAGGTCAGAACATCACAAACACTGGATGTCAGGAATCCTCTGCAATTAGCTGGGTAATGGCATGACAATTTTTTAAATGCAGCCATTCTGATATAGCTAGTTTCGAAGTCTAGGGTTTTAATACAGATCTATCATGAAATGTGCAAACTCAAACAGCACACACAATTTACCATCTCACAAACTCATAACAACTACCTATTACTTCCAAGGAAAAAAAAAATATTGTAAAAAATCATCGCGAATGATAATTCAATAATCTCCAATCGAAACAACATAAAAATTTTGGAACCATGAAAGCCACGCAGCAAGTAGAAACCAAGTGAATTGAAATCAAATCACTCTTTGGAAAAAAATTAACAGAGATTAGATCAAGGATTAAAATAAAAATAATTTCTGTAAAAAATAAAATCAAGCCACATGTTTATACTAAAAAGTAATCTCTCAAAACTATTAAGTTTGCTATTTGATCAAAGAGTTAGTTCTTGAAAAGAAAAATGAAAAAGTGCATTTAACTATAATTTCATGAAGAACAGATAACATTGTCCTCCCCAAAAAGCTCTATACATTATTAAATTCCACCTGAAATTTTCCTATAAAAAAAATCCTGGCCTTAAAATGCACAAATCTCATGCACAAAAAAACAACAAAACCATTAATCCTTAATCCCGCTAAGCTTGAAAAAATTATACAAAATAACGTATTGAATATGAATCCCAAAGAAGCGGCTGAAAAAAATAAGGAGTCATGATATTATATGCCACTAATGGCAGATTTCTCAGATAGAGCTTTTGAACCGTAGCCTTAGCTCGTTGTATGATTTTATATAATCTCTATTTCTAGAAGTTAAATTTTTAAGAGCTTTTGTACAGAACATTTCGAAGTTTAGATGAATCCATTATCAAACTTTAATTCCACAAATCTCATACTCATATCTTCCCTTGATTTTAATAGCATGGTTACAATAAATTTCATAAGAATTTTCTCATGACTAATACATTTTAATTCCACAGATGTCATACTCAAATCTCATACTCAAGAGTAATAGAAGTGTGTAATATTTACTGGCTTCCTAATGAACAAATTGGGACTAAAATCGAGAGGCAATGACAAGGAAAGTTCAAAATAAATATATATTAAGTTTCACAAAATTTTTTTCTGATAACAATAATATATATTAAGTTTCATAAAATAAGTTTCACAAATGCTTTTAAGCTCACTTGTCCTTTTAAAAGAATATGAAAGAATAAAAAATAAAGAAATTAAAAAGCTGATGGCTGTCTGCAATTGAAGTGTGGGGATGAATAAATACATGAAAAGTAATATTTTTTGTGCTTGATAAAAATTCCTTAATTACATAATTCCTTGCCTACGTGTACAAATATTATAGCCTGATTTGAATTTAACAAAGAAATACTATGTACTTTTAATAAAACTTTTGTTTACACAGATTTAAGCCAGCAACCTGACCTGCTGGAGTCCCTCATGATTTAGAACAAATTGGTATCTTTCCCAATCAGCATGTGGTGCCACTGGATTTCGGGCAGGTGGTGCAGTCAAATGTCCCACTTTAAGGTAGGGTAAAGGTATCTGCAAAGATATTATTTCAGAGTTTAAAGAAATAATTATATGTATCATTGCAAGAAGTTTAAATAGTTTTTGACCGTTACATGAATTTAGTTTCATGGGTTAATTAGGGGTAAGCTAGCTTTCATGGAATAATGACTGGTAGGAAAATACAACTATGAGAATACAAAGAAGGTGTTAATTTAGCAAATTAAAGTTGAAATAGAGCTGGGATTCAAGTTTTCCAGTCAGGTATGAAAACAAGAAAAAATTGTAGCAAGTTCTTAATTGATAAGCTCAAGATTATTGGTTCAAGAGCAAACTTAAGGCCTGAGCTAACATTAATTAAAAATCCTTAACTTCAAAAAGTAGCGTTTCCTTTTTTTTTCCCCCAATAAGTGTGTTGATCATAAGGTTTTAAAAAATGCATGAGTGAGAGTATTCTTATTGTCTATAAACTGTCCTCGAAACTGAATGAACTTTTGTTTGCATGTAAAACTTAACATTCCAAAAAAGACAATTTTAAATTAGCATTATTATTTTCTTGAGCTGTCATAGATCGAACTTACAATTTTCTGTTGTGTTATGTGTTAATGAATAGATTATGGTGCGCATGCACAGAATACTTCTGAGCAAATAGACTCCATAGTGAGTACATTTATTTATGAAATATGTATACCAAATACATTTCTCGGAGCGCTATATGCCCTTCACAAAAATTCTCTCAAATAGGGGAGGTTAGTTAAAAATAATTAACTATTCTCTTCATTAGTTTGCTCTCAATAAAAATAAGATTAAAGAAAGCATCACATTCTATGAATTCTTCAGTTTACATTGCCATCATTTCGAAGAAGAAAAATTCAGAATCATAATTACAATCCACTGATGAAGGTCCAAAAATTATCTATTAATTTTGTTGCTTTACTTTTCAGGTGAAGAAGATTACATCATAGCCATCTATCTGATATGTCATATATCTCATACTTTTACTCTTTTAGCATGAAGTCACATGTGAAGTGGTAAGGCTTCAAGGCACACAGAACAAAAACATAGAAAAGAGAATAAAACAAAAGATATTATAGGAGTAAAGACCCCGACTATTTAAATGAGATCATTTAAATCCCAGAATTTATTAAAAACTTAAAAATAATAAAATAAAATAAAATAAATCTAGATTTTTATAAGAATGCTAAATTAGTCCCAAGACTATGAAGCACGGAGATAGACACCGAGACAAGAATGCGACACGCAAAATACCGGGACACGACATAATTGAAAAAAATAGGACACAACATGTCATTGACACGTTTTAATATTTAAATAATTATGAATATAAAATATATCAATTCCTATTATTAATTATTAAAGACATTATAGAATAAAATATACAAGAATAAAATTTATCTTTATAAATATAACTTGTATCACAAACCTCATGCTTATAAAAAATAATTTTTAAAATTAGACATATAGTATATTTCAAAAGAATTCATCCAATTTATCCACTAAAATTTAAAATATCATGCTTGTTTAATTAATTAAGTTAATTTAACTTTTAGAATTAGAAAAAGTATAGATCTATAACTATTAACTCATTAAAGAGTTAAAAAAATTATAAATGATCACTTATAAAATTAGGGTGGTGTTGATTCCGCTTAGCTTCGAAGAATAGAAGCTTCAATACAAGCGTCACAAAGTTCGTGTAGTGTTTGGACTGGTTTCAACAAACAGGTTTCGACAAAAAAACTTACAACTTGCGCTTTAGTGGGCGCAGGTTCGGCTTCGATAAATAAAAGAGAATTACAACGCTCAGCTTCGACAAATGCAAAATGAACTTTTGATACTCGGCTTCACAAACAAACAAGGAACTACTGATGCTAGGTTTGATGAATATTTGATACACCCATGATGCTCGATTTTGATGAATGTTAGAGGGAGCTTTGATATGTTGAGAGAGGAAGCGACTTCAGCTATGAGGTATAATTAGTTTTATAACTAATTTTATAATTTTTTTTAACTATCTCATTTTTTTCCAAATCGTGTTGAGCTCACGTCCGATGTGGTGTTTGGCGTATCCCGGATATATTCAAGTCCAAAAAAAATTCAATCACATTTTGAAGTGTCAAACAAGTATCGAAGCACGTTGGACAAGTGTCGTTATCAGATAAATGTCCGCCACAGATACTGCGCATTTTAGAAGTGTCGGCGCTACATAGTCTCCAAACAGTTTTAATACAGGTTAAAATAGTCCTCACTGGGGACTATTTCAACCCAAATTAAAACAGTTTTGGGGACTAAACTGAATAAACTTTAGGACTAAAATGGGTCCCCCTGTAAAAGAATCATTGGATCATTCGACAAATTTCTCGATGTTATAGTTGGCCCCAAGGTAAGTTGCTCTAACCAAAATATCATAGCATGATACCAGACATGATATCATGTTACCTGCCATAACTATGTCTTTCCCTGGCTAATTGCAAGTTGTAGTGCAATTAGCGCCAAATGATTTAAGAAATACAGGACACACAGGAACTAAGTGGAAAGTCCTCTAGAAGCCTAATGATTTAAGCAATACACATTACAGCACAGCTCCAGCCGTCAAAAAATCAACTATGACAAAGATAAAATATCTTCTAATTATGCTTTTATAAGGAATAAACAACACTCACCTTTGAATGAACTAGCCTCAAGGCGCTGCGATAGACCTGGAAATATAATAACAAACTATGAGGCCAAACCAACGCAAGTGAAATTTTACAAGCATCTAAATCCTCCTGTCCATGGCATTGTTTAATTTAATGGAGTAGAATACAGTATTTATTTTTAGGAAAATTTACATATATAACGGCTGTGCATTTTTATATCTAACACCTAAACTTCAACTTTTACATATATGCCACCTTATTTATGCATGAAAAGATGTATTCACTTTATAACAGTTAAATAGTGATATTTTTATGTGCTGATGAAGATTTGGGTGGTATACATATAAAAAGTAGAGTTTGTTTTAGATGTGTAATTACACAGGAATTGAGTGGTATATATGTAAATGTCCCTTATTTTTAATAAAGAAGACTACAGATTTTAAAATAGTTTTTGGATCTAAAGGAACTCTTATCATAGATAAAGAATATTGGAAATTCATAAAAACATATCAAAATAGAAGACCATGATGATGAACTCTGCAACATGGTTGAAACAAACCACTTATAAAGAACACAGCTAACAAGGGAAATGCTAATTTACCGAATAATTAGGCTTTAAAGCATAAGCGGCTGCAATATAAATAGCAGATTGACTGTAAAGTTCCTTGGGAGATATTTCCTTTTGGTTAACAAGCCTTCCAGCTCTTACTGTGTCCTCTGCTAAGCCATACTGCAAGGTTATCAATAAGCATATGATCAGATGATCATTCTTATCACGAAATAATAGCATCAAGGGCAAATATTAATGGAAAAAAGTATCAGAAAGTTACCAGGACTGTTCCTAGATTGTAAATTGCCCTATGAAAATCAAACTGAAGACGAATAGAGGCACGAAACTGCAATGGAGAGCCATATCATACACGTTAGATATAAAAACGAAATGAATCCCAAAAGGTCCCCAGATTGCTCGATTGTGACCAATTTAGTTTTGGAGTTTTGAAGTGGTCCAAATTAGTCCTTCGATTATAAAAATTGATCCCAATTGATCCATCATGTAGAAATCATGACAGAAAAGTGGTTCCAATTTAGTCCCTTGACAATACAGATTTGATCACAATTTAGTCAATGAAGGTCCATTTGGGGTGAATTTTTAAAAGACGGGGGCTAAATTAAAGCAGTGTAAAACTTCAAGACTAAATTGGTCACACCCAAATAATTGAGGGACTATTTTGAGATTTAACCCATATAAAAACTGTTATGAAAATGTTCCGTGCAGATTCATGAGTTCATTGCATGAAAGTACCTTGCTTATAGCCATCCGAACAATGTTCTGCTTCTCCCGAATAGGAACTATAGCACTAAGTTCCTGCAGTTAAAGAATAATAACTGAATGATATCATACCTGCAAAAGGAGCAACAAAGAAATCATAGTACGCACCTGTAGAGCAAGACCCCAATTGTTAAGGGCCTACAAAATTAAATAAAACAAATTAAATTCTAACACAAGTTTAATATATTACTCTAATCAGATGCCTTGATAAGAAGCTTACCTGAGGACTGTTCCAGTTAAGCTGAACAGCCTTTTCATAATTTTTTGTAGCCTGGGAAATAAGTCAGTAAAGTAAATCTAAGAATCGCCGTACAAAATGGAAGCTAACACGCATGGAAACAAAGATCAAGTGTGTGCATGAACATCTACAAACATATACTAAATATGCTAAGAAAAGGTTGTAAAAAAAGAAAAGATGTAACACCATATCTTGGTAGTATATTTCGAAAAATAGACGTATTCTGATATTTCTAAGAATATAAGTTCAATTAATATGCGTGCTACAAGCCAACAAAATCCAATAGACCATTTCACCCATCTGATTTCAATTTCGAATAGCATGGGCAGATGAGCCTGTCACATTCACATCTTATCATAATTATGAAAAACTAATAGTCTGAAATGTAGATGAATGGCATATGCATATATATATATATATATATA